AAATCAATTATTTTTCGGTTTTAGTTTGATTGTCCTGTTTTAATTAAATATATAAGTTTAAAAAAAAAGTTTTTTAAATTTTTTAATTTTAAAATTAAAATTTAAAAATATGTAGAATATGTTAAAATATTTTTTAATTTTATAATTTTTAACATATTACGTGAAAATTAAGCTGTCAAAAAATGAAAGAGACATTTTTAGAAAATAAGCGATAAAAAATAAGATAAATAAATTGAAATAAAGTCGAATGTACGTGGAAGTCCAAGCACCATACCAAAATATATGTTCTAATCCTTATATAAACTTGATGACTTATATCTACTCACAACTTAATGCTTTCTCTTGTCAACGAGCCGATTTAATACCTTTAATTTTCTCGGAGCTTTGGAGGCACATACAGAAAAAAAGAATTTTTTTTTGAATTTTTTGTAAATTCTTAATTAATATGGGTGACAAAACATAATTATTAATAATATATATCTCGAGATAAGCCTATGATCGAGGTGATGGTTAAAATGGCACTTTGTTTGATGAGAAAATTATTGGATATGTGAATAAAGTATCATATTAATAGTTAAGGGAAGATCCACGTGAGTTACGAGGGTTCATATGAATTCTCTTGATAAAAAGTTATATGATATATATAAAGTAAATTTTTTATATTAAAGCAGATATGTCATTTTTGAACCCTCTGGCCCTCATGAACAAGAAGCAAGTTGTGGTGTAGCAGTAGATTTCCTCTTAAATTGATCTTTGTGTCCAAGGTTTGAATCACCGTTGCAAACATTTTTTGTTTATATTTTTATTTTCTCTTTATTTAATTTCAGGATCAATCTTTTACGCTTTTAGTTGTTTTCATTTTAAGAAAAATAATTTTTATCTATTTATTTAGCTTCTCGTCATTTTATTTGAGGTCCAATCTTTAGAACAATTTGTAGGCACTGGGACAATAAATCACAGTCAATAGACTTACTTGGCTCTAAATAATCTTGACACTTAAACGTGTACTGAAATGAGTGGATACAACACATTGGAAAAAATATACCTGCTTCAACTGTTTATATCAAATCAGTGTAAAATATATAATTACGTAATTTAATAAAATGAAATAAACTATAAATTTGAACACATATAATGTATATATTAACTTAATATAAACACCAATATAAATAAATTTTATCCCAAAATATTATATCGTAATTTTTTTTTATACAAATTATAATTTAGTAGGATTATTTTATAGATATCAAATATTTCGAATGAAAAATCAAGCACCCCCACCACCCAAAAAAGGACACCATATGTTGTTTTTATTTATTACTAACAAGAAGTGAGTGGTAGATGAGTTGGTTCAATTATCCCACAATATCAGTGATTTTATTTTTGGTGCTTTATCCTATCCAGTACTAGTAATTGATTGGGGCATACAAGAGCCAGTACAATAGTATTGAGACTAGCTTAGCCATCATAGATTTTTAAATACTATGTGGATAAAAATTTAGGTAAAATTTTATATTGTGTTTGATTATAATATTTGAAAAATATATATAATTTTTTTAAGAAATATAATTTATACTCATAAATTTTAAAAGCTATCAAAACTAATGATAGGTTTGTATTAAGTAGCGCATGATTTTGTTATTTTAAGTCGATTATTCATCATTTTCATCAACAATCATATCATCTTTTTGGCCATCACTACTTTGATGATCATATAAAAAGAAATATGTAAAACAACACAACCAACTACCATAGAGTTATAAAAGATAAAATTTTGATGTAGAATTTGAATTATTAAAAATTCTTAAATAATGAGATTTGACCCAAAATACTAATTTTTCTAGTATTTAAAAATTTAAGTTATTTATCGAATAATAACAAATTAAATGAACAACATCATTTGTCAATTTTTTTTTAAAATATTACTTAAAAAATCTACGACCAAACAAAAAAAAAGTAAAAAAAAGTCATCGTTCAATTTTCAGGTTCTTCTATCTTAGACATGACCGAAGATAAATAATAAAACAAAGAGTGAAAATTCACATCATGTGAATGTAAGTAGTCTTTGTTAGGAAAAGTCCATACCCTTGATAGTCCTATTATCGAAAGCATAATTAAAATTTAAAATTTAATTCTTTTTTAAATTATTAAGCTCAGATGAATCGAGTCGATTGCCCCGCTCGGTCTACCAGCCATTGTATTTCACATCAAACATTATCTTTTCCTTGTTTTCGTATGGCCAATAGTAATAAGACACGTGTTATTTGAGATTTTGTCTAAAATCTCCAATTCAATCCTGTAAAACTTGTTATGAAAATTTTCAGTGTAAACGTTAAACATTGATGAAAATAATGGAGATGGAGTCATTGAAATCATGCGGAGCATTCATGAAAAAACTAAGATTAGAACCAATTGGCTCTGATTCAGATGAACTCAATGGTCTAACTTTTGCGGTGAAAGACATATTTGATTTAGAAGGACAAATTACTGGTTTTGGAAATCCAGATTGGGGAAAAACTCATTCTGCAGCAATATGTACTGCACCAACTGTACTATCTCTGTTGAAATCGGGTGCTACTTGTATCGGTATAACCGTAATGGATGAAATGGCTTACAGCATCAATGGCGAAAATTTTCATTACGGTACACCTGTTAATCCTGTTGCACCAGATAGAGTACCTGGAGGATCTTCAAGTGGATCTGCAGTCGCTGTTGGTGCAAAAATTGTTGATTTCGCATTAGGAACAGATACTGGCGGAAGCGTTAGAGTTCCTGCATCGTATTGTGGGATTTACGGTATTCGTCCTTCTCATGGAGTTGTTTCAGTTGATGGAGTTATACCTATGGCACAAAGTTTCGATACAGTTGGATGGTTTGCGACGAATGCTTGTATTTTAAAGCAAGTTGGAAGAGTATTGCTTCAATCTGATCACGAATCGAAAGGTCTAACTAAATTTATTGTGGCAGAAGATTGTTTTAAGCTTCTGGATTCCAAGAGTAATCGTCAAACGATTGGAATACTTGTTGATTCGGTGAGGGAGCTATATGGAAGTGATCAAATGATTGAATATGTGAGTATAGGTGATTACATTGAGAAAAATGTTCCGAGTTTGAAGAAATTCATGACGATTGAAACTTGCAGTAATAATAACATTCCATCCTCATTGCGAGCTCTTTCAGCTGCAATGAGGTTGCTTCAGAAATACGAATTCAAAGAGAATCACGGAGAATGGGTTAGTGAGGTGAAGCCTAGTTTAGGTCCTGGAATAGCAGAACGCGTGCAGGAGGCGTTGAGAACTACCAAAGATGAAGATATTGACGTGTGCCAAACGGTGAAGACTGAGCTTCGAGTATCTCTTAGTGGTCTACTTGGGGATTGTGGAATACTTGCAATCCCAACTGTTCCTGGACCTCCACCAAAACTAAAAACTGAGACGACTACGTTGGAAGGATTTCGTGCAAAAGCTTTTAGTCTTTTGTCAATTGCTGGAGTATCTGGATTTTGCCAGGTTAGTATACCTCTAGGTATACAAGATAATCTTCCTATATCAGTTTCTTTATTAGCAAATCATGGTTCAGATTGGTTCCTGCTAAATGTTGTTGAGGCTATTCACAATGTTCTTTACTTGTAAGAAACATAATAAGTTGCGAAAAACCAAAAAAAAACAGAACCATGTATATGATGAATAATTTGCAATTCCAAGGTCTCATTTCTTTATTTTGGCATCAACATCTTTATTTATAAGCTTGAAAGCATCATTTGATTCACGACATACTTATAACCGAGTCTACGAGCACAACCTTGGAATTCATCAAACTCGTCCTGTAACTTGTATGCCAACTTAAACATTTGCAATCAAATTACTCAAAAAATAATAGAAGAAAGACTGGATACTTTTACTAGAATGAAACTTAAAAGGTTCTAAAATGGTACTTGTGCGCGATAATGGACCAAACTTATATTCCAACGCGGGCTGAAAGCATCTATAGTCTTTGACAAAGAACCAGCCTTCTCGGGGAAAGTGAATCGACAAAGAAGCTCATTGTGAAGATTTGATCTACTGGCTGTCTGCACAATTGATAGCAAGTGGGAAAAAAGAAGGAAATCAAAACATATGAGCCATCGATACCTAATGAAAACTCCATATTTTACAGAATCTTTGCTGATGTCCTCAAAACAGTCAGGAATGAGATTGACTGATTGATACTCTTTCTACTGATTGAGAATCCCAGTTCTGAATATAAATATTTCTGCGATTCAAAAAATAACAATACAAGTAACAAAGATTTGATGAAATTCAGTATGTTACCAAATGTGTCGAGTGATCTTTGACCAAGTCATTATCTGTAAGATTAACAGTGTGCAGTTTTGCTGATCTCATTTTCTCTATCAGAGCTTCAAGTTCCGATTTAGTTTGATGAGCAACCCTGCAGACCAAAACAGATATTTTCTTGTGAAAAAAAAGGTGAAGTCTGTTAAAATGAGCCAACGTCTCGTTAAAAGATCAAGAACCTTGCCTGTCAAGCACTAGAGCCTTTTCATCTCTAGAATGATATCTGTACTTGAATTCAATAAACTTCATCGTTGGTCCAATCTATGATCCAAGTTGACTTTTCACGTCAGAGACATGGGTAGATATCTTATATGATCACTCAACTAATAGTGCTATTATGTCTTAAAAAGTCACCTTTCTTCTATATTCTGATTTTCTTCAAAGAACGTGACTTTCTAAGATAATAATATTAGTTGATTTAACCATCTATAGAGCTTTAGTGAGCAAAATAGCATATTGAGTGCTCTATATGACCTGTTTACAGAACCGTTTGAAGCTTTCGGGCTCTTCTGGCATACAAGTAGCTAGCACAGCTTCGCGATTTCTACCAACATCTGCAAATTTGCTTATCAATCTTAGTCTGTCAAAGTTTATATTGACTCCACTTGTTATTGCTACTACATTTTCATCCTTGAGGCCATAGTACTTGCAGTATGCTTCAGCTCCTGCAAGTGCAAGTGCACCTGCAGGCTCTAATATGCTCCGTTTTCTTCAAACATGTCTATTAAAAAGAAATAGCAAGCTTTTGTCACGTCTAATAAACTAAAATTCAGATAAGAAACCAGTTATCTATTACTTCTAAGATTATTTTGATAATAGACAATGGTAAGAAGGCACATCTGAAGGCCATAAGAACAACATTACCACCTAACCTCTCAACTGATTTTCACTGCTCATTTGGTAAAATGAAGAAGAGAAACCAGAGTTTAGAATAGAAAAATATAAGGGGGTAATAGATAAGGGCATATGAGTCAATGCGTCCGGTATACCACGTAGGATGCGTGCGTTTACCTGTTCAATTTTATACAAGTTTAAGCGTTTACTTGTGCACATCCAAAGTAGAAGGGCATAGATGATAGTAAAGCTAAGTTAGAGATCATATTTATCTAAGTTTGATTCATAATAAGCAAGACACCAAATTAAACACATTGACTCATAAACGAAAAATTCAACAGAAAATTTCTTATTTCATTCTAATTCTTTATTATCCTTTTTGAGATATGTCGAAAGTTATTGAAATAATAATAGAATGTCTTAAAAAAAATAATACATAATTATGCGGTGCCTAATTATGCCTTTTAATTAGGTCTCAACTCACATCTATGTCCTTCAACTTCGACTATGCACAAATAGATACTTAATTTGTATAAAATGGAAGAAATAGGTACACACATCCTACATGACAATTTGCTACCTACATGTTCATGTCTTATATGCATTATTCAATTTTATACAAAATTAAATGTCTAATTATGCAAACCTAAAATTGAAAGGCATAAACATAATCAAATAAGACCAAGTTAAAAGAGCACTAATTTTAATATCATCCAGTAGTTGCTTTATTATGTTTTAAGAGTAGTTGTTGACTCATCTCCATAAAAAGACTGAATGAAACAAAGTTTCATGTTTGTAATCCGCTACATCATTTTTAAAGAGTTCAAATAACATAGTATAAACCTCTTCTTCAAAAACTTTAACCGTATATACAAATTTTAAGATCAAAATTATTATCTTATTCTAACTTTAAATGAGAAGACTTGTCAAATGAATAATTTGTGTTTGTATAAAGCGAGAGAGAGATTTGATTTACAAATATAAATGTTTTTACTCGATTTAATTATATATGGATTCACATTTTATGTAGATATACAAACACAATCATTGATACGTATACATAGTAGTTATATATATATAATTATCTAATCTATATTCATATACCAGTCAACTCTCTCCACTCTTTGCCCTTTCTCGCTCACCTCTCTCATCTCTCCTAATCTCGCTCGACTCTCTAGCCTAACATAAAAAACATATACATATTCAAATACAATTTTCTTTGTTATTCCTAAAATTTACTCTAAATTAAATCCAACCCTCAAAAAGAATACAAAAATCTAAAGGGCTTTGGTGTTTGCCACTTTGGCAATAAAGCGTATGTTGATATAGAACCAAATTAACCCATTGGGCCTTATTCCCCCCCTTTTAGGCCTTAACCTAAAAAAATGAAAATATCTACACATTTTCCCACTTATAAATATGAACGTTGCTTCTTCAAAATCTTGAAAAACCTTATCTTTCCACTTCTACACTATCATCAACTCGGCGTCTTAGCAACAATGGCTTCTTCAGTTTCTTCTCTTCAATTTCTCTTTGTAACTCCACAAACCCTTTCTTCTCTGAAACCCAATTCCACACCAACTTCATTTTCCTTCTTCTCTCTTCCTTCGTCCTCTTTGAATCTTTCTTTATCATCTTCAACCCCTTCTTCTTTTATCAGGCCTTTTGAATCTTCTTCTTTCGGCTCTCGGTTTATTCGTAACGTGGCGTTATCTGAATTTGACCAATTGGAAGATGATGTTGGAGAAGTAGAAGAAGAACCCAATTTCTCTCCGGACCTTAAACTCTTTGTTGGTAATTTGCCGTTCAGTGTTGATAGTGCTACACTTGCTGAGCTTTTTGAACGAGCTGGAAATGTTGAGATGGTTGAGGTAATTTAGCAAATTATTCATTGTTTCTATTATTGGGATACTTCAATTTTGTTGCTTAAAAGCATAATTGAAGTAAATAGAATTGCCCTGTTATAGTATTTGCAGCACTTAAGACGTAATTCAAATAGTGTAGTTTTTCGGCAAAGAAATTGACACCCTTAATACCTCTAATGTATAACTAAATGAGTTAGTGATAATGAGACATGCTATGAAACTTTTTCGATATAGTAGTAAAACGTTTTCTCCATGCTTGCTCAAGTATCTTGGAGAAAGGGCTGTGTTTTGTACTATTCACTGTAGTGAGCTTGAGAAGATTTTATTTGCCTATATCGAGTTTTCGATTGGATGCGAGATGCTAGGATTGTATTGAAGTTGTTATACTTTTGCAGGTTATCTATGACAAGCTCACAGGAAGAAGCAGAGGGTTTGGTTTTGTGACAATGTCATCAAAAGCGGAAGTGGAAGCTGCTGAACAACAATTCAATGGATATGTAAAGTTTTACCCTTTGCTCTTGCCATTTATTAGTATCTTCGAGTTAACTTGTATTACAGTGTCTGCTTAATGTTTCGACAAGTGAATATGACTTGCTAAGCTAATTAGCTGCGGATGATATCACTTTCTAGTCTCACTTTTCAATTTGTCATTTGTGTAATCTACAAATCTTGTCTTTCCAAAAGAAACATGCATATCTAAGTAAATGTTTTGATGTTTCTCTTGCAGGAAATCGACGGGAGGGCATTGAGAGTGAACTCTGGGCCAGCACCAGAGAAAAGGGAGAATTCTTTTGGAGGTGGACGAGGTGGAAGAAGTGAGAATTCTTCTTATGGAGGTGCACGAGGTGGGAGAAATTTTGATAGCTCCAACAGAGTCTATGTAGGAAACCTCTCATGGGGTGTCGATGACCTTTCACTTAGAGAATTGTTCAGTGATCAAGGAAAAGTTGTTGATTGCAAAGTAGTCTATGACAGAGATAGTGGTAGATCAAGGGGTTTTGGATTTGTCACATTCAGTTCTGCTCAAGAGGTCAACAAGGCAATCGATAGCTTGAATGGCTTTGTAAGTATATTTTTACTAACCCTGATTAAACACGGATTATAAATTAAATCTCGAGTTATTGTGAAAAGATACACGATATTCTCATCAGGCTGTTCTGATACTATGCATCTGGTGTGATTTGTTGTGCAGGACCTTGATGGCAGGCCCATTCGCGTAAGCGCTGCAGAAGAGCGACCCCCCAGGCGTCAATTTTGAATGTGTTAAAATACATCTTTTTGATTGGGAAAAACTTGAGGTAAACAACTCACATGTTCATGTTTCAAATTTATTCATAGTCTCTTAAAAGGCAGAGAGGAAAACTCATCACTGTATACTCTTCTATGGTTAATTTACGGTTCAACGCTCTTGTTGAATGTGTTTTAGCTTCTTACAAATGTGAAATCTTACATGGCAGGGCCTGGAAATGATGAAAATCGCAACAAAGCTCACGAAATGCTTGCAATGGTCAACACCTGCTGCTACTTTTACACCAAATTTGGTACAAAAATTTTGGTATCTGCATCTAGACTAATGAGAGTACTCAGTATATTTTGTTTTACTGTTTCTGTTCCAAAAATTGCCTTGGGGATAAATTCTAACCTGTAATATTATTATATCCATTAGTTGATAATGGACTAGAGAATGACATGTTAGATCACTCTTTGGGATGTGTTATCTTGGTGTGAAGTGAATGTGGTTGTTGCACAATTTTTTTGTTTGAAAACTTAATTTGTTGATTGTATGTCTGGTGTTGATTGTGTTCGAAAAATGGTCATCGCATACAAATACAATACAACGTCAAAAATCTATGTAATATTTTATGCATGAAAGGATGAGTGATATCTAATCTCTGCGTGCTTTGTACTCTAGTAGTTCATTCACCACCTTGTAAAACGATACAACCTCTTTTACCTGCTTCTGTGGAAACATTATACTCAAGTCTCTTTGGTAGATAAGCAATTGTAGCTGGCATGCTGCCTTTCTATAGCAATAGAATGCACACATCCTATAAGAAAAAAACTCGAATCTTGTCTATCAAATGTCAGACCAATATCCATATGATCAGAGACCATAGCATATAAACGAAGTCCTGATGGCAAGAAATGAACAAAACATAATGATAAATTTACTATGTCTACCTTCATGTAGAGCCTCCATTCTTTTGATTTTTATGCTCATTAACATGTCGAGGTTGTAACTTGCTGGGATTTACTGAATTCAAGTCACACTCAGATTTTCTTCCACAAAACACATTCCACTTTTTCTTTGTTTTTACCACCTTTTTAAACTCCTGTTTCATGCTGTTGCACTCTTTCTCTAGTTCTGCAACACGCTCCCTCATGTCATCGATACTTGATCCTCTTCCATTTGATGTGTTTGTGTTCCTGTTGCCTCCATGAAGAGTAGTACTTTGGGAGTTGTCAAGATTATCTGAGACAAAGAACAATCCTGATATTGATGTCCTTAGTCGAAGTTGTTCAAAGAACAAGACCTGAACTATGACCCTAAGAGGTAGCCTCTCGTTTTGAGCAGCGTGTGTGCAAGCTTCCAACGAGAGCTTCTGGCAATTCATTAGTCTGCAGATTTGCTCTCTTTCTGAGTCTGTGAGCCAAGGATGTGCCTAAAATTGAAATGTGTAAGAAAGGATGCACAATATTAGATCACTGTGAAGTTTAATATAATATGTAAATCCCAACAACAATCCCACATGTAAAGTCTGCACAACTTGTCCCTACCCTACGGAGGTAGAAATACTATTTCCAAAAGACCCTCAACTCAAGTAACCGCATGCATTACATAGCAATTTTACATAAGATTAAACGACACATTTGAAATAAGAAGAATGCGTATCATTAACAGAAATATAGAACTACTTGTTACCTTCAAATATATATCAATTGCACGATAGATACCATCTGTAAGTGGCCTTGCAAAATCCGGGATTGTTGCAGCAAGAGACTGAAATTTAGGGAACTTGTAATTAGCATCAGGCGCGACTTCAGAAAGATATGAATCCACTAGATTTGCTACCCTTGTTAGTGAAGTTAATGAAGTTGAACCTTCCATCAATTGGTTTTCTTCCATAATACATGGAGAGGGTGCAGAAGAAGCCTGGTCTACTGACATGAAATGATCCAAAATTCTCTGAAAACAGTCTATGTCATATAAAGTTTCTACTGAATATCCCATATTTGGTATTAACAAGTCATCAAGTGCAGCTTGATCTAATTGCAATCCCACTCTTCTCTCCAAATTCTCCCTGCAAGATGGACTTGCTTGTAGCATCATAGCGCTACGCAGTAGCCTAAGAAGAAACCTGTATAGATATGCAAAATACGTAATTTAAAGTATGCTCTATGTAACAACAACATAAACTTGTAAATAAGATAATTCACGCAATTCATTATGGTACCAGGGCAGGCGAAAGGTGTGTTTGGTATGAATGAAGATGTTTTCTTACAACTTCTTTCTCGAAATAAGTGATTTTCTTACTTATTTTCTAATATTTGTTAAGTAAGTAAGAAGTTATTGTCTCGAGCATTTATACGCGCTTGTTTGGATGGACTCATAGCCTATGGCTTATAAGTAAGTTTGAGTTCAAAACATCTATAATAAGTCAGGATCTCTTAGAAAAACATTATGGGGATGGGGTGATTAAGTGGTGGTAGGGAGGAGACAATTGAACTTTGGAGGGCCGATTAGGAAAGTCACTTTTCTCATTTTCAAGTAACTTGTATTCCCAAAGAAGAATATTCTTCAAAACATTTTGACCAACCAAACATGGAAAAATTGGAAAACATTTTCTCAGTATCAAACACATGCACCCCTAAGTTCAAATCTCATGGCCAAACAAAAAGGAAAAAAATGTTAAGACATAATATGATGAAGTAAATAAAAGTGTCTTACGAACCTAGTTTCTGTTACTCCTTTCTGATTTGGCAACAACTCCATTATCTCCTCTAAAAGTGCCCTTTGGTCTGCTTCTGATGGAGTTGAAATTGTTGATCCTGATTTATTAGTTTGGCTAGTAGCATCCTTGAAACTTGCTTGTCTATTCATCAAAGGAATATATTTCTTTGCATAAAACACAACTGCGCCTGCTACATTATCCGGCCTCATTCCTCCGGCTTCAACTGCCTGAATCAACCGTTTATACAGAGGTAAGCTAAGGAACGACACGTCTTCATACCACCAATCATCTGTCATCGGCTGTGTCTTGGATCCGGTGCATATCCCATTCCACACCTCCGTGTCTGTGGTATCCTCGTGACCATTTTCAGACACAGGCCAGTTAAACAACTTTGCATCGGTACAAGCTTTCATTGCTAAGGAATTTATGCATCTTGACACAATATGAAGCTCTTCAGCCTGTGGTAGAACTTCTTCACATGTTTCAAGAGCTTTTATAGTATCTGTCCAATTCCCAAAAACTTCGTTAAGAAAAGATTCTGTTTGTGCAATGAGATTTCTCTCACCATATTCATCTGTCATTTCCAAATACTCTGATGCACATCTAAGGCTCACTATATTCAACGGAGTGATTTCTATTTTGACACCATAACAGAATTTGGCTACTAACTCAAATGCTTTAGCACCACCAGGTATGTCATTGAGCTGCAGTTCGCTAACTGATACGTCGTCTTTTGATGAATCTTTAATTAGCTTTGCTAGTAGTCCACTTCTTGATATCAATGGGAACTGCACAATAATGCACAAACACTATACCTCCGTTTCAATTTGTTTGTGTTACATGGCATGTTTAAGATCAACATTTTGATACATTCTATATATCTTTAGCTTTAAGACCATAAGATTCAAAAGTTTTTTTTACTCCGTGTCAAGACAAAACCAGGTTGAAACGGAGGGTGTAATTGATAACAACAAAAGAAGAAGAAGGTGTGTACCTTGTGTAGATAAAAGGACATTTCTCCAATTTCAAATGTAACATCACTGGGAAGGCCTGATGTGCAATGCCTGAAGAGAGTTCATAATTCAAAGAAAACATTTCTAAGTTTGTTACTTCAGAAACAAAAATGAATCAAATGTTTTGAACTTTTAATAATACTGAATTGTTATGTTGCTCGAACTCTTCAACAATATCAATGGATGCATGTTATGTTCTCCAAAAATAAATTCAACACAGATGCGGCATCAAAAGTGAAAAGTGAAGTTGAACTTCTGTTAGTGAACATAGTGATTTTAAGCATAAGCTCAAATTTTTTAATCAAATTTGACAGGGGACTAACTCCTTCTAACGAGTTATGCATTTTGTTATCATTTTCCAATCAAATGATCCAATAATCCAACTAGTGTATGATTACAAACGGATCGATTTTTTTTTATTTTCATTGGACATCGATCTCTAAGAATGAAAAATAAATAAATAAATAGGGAGCGTTCTCTTCTTTAATAAGTTATACACATCACAAATCTAGATTAATCAGGGTCTTGAAGCGAACATTGAAATTTTTTATTTTATTTTAGAGCTCGAAGAGGGACTTACCAAGCTTGGCCTTCACGACGGAAGGCCTCAGATTTGGAACCAAGTCTTAGAAATGCCATGTATCCAAATGGAGTCAAAAAGTTAATAATGCAATAATTTTATTGTTTCAAATGACTGACAATAATTTCTATGCTGCAAATTTACACAAACATGAAGAATCAAAATGAAGATAAACACACGACATAATTAGGAAAAAAGGTCTTTAATAATGATAATCAGTTAGGAATTGGAAAATTATTATATATTTGTACTAATTATATTATTTGTTGTTTTTATGTGTATTAGTAATTAATTAAAAAACAGTGAGTGTTGGTAGCAAAAATAGTTTTGGACCGAGTCTTTGGCAGTTTAAACAACTGTTTTCCTCTCCTCTTATCTACCCTCTTTATACTCTTCATATTTCATAAACGTGGCCTATAAATTTATATTATATAAGAAAAAGAACTGTTATTTTAAATTTTATAAAAAAGACATATGCTTAGAGTGAAGAGATTGTTGGTATCATTAAAAGAATTATATTTAAAAAGTTAAATAGTTACTATGATTATCGACTAGTAGATCTTTATAAAATTGTGTATATTTGAAAGTTTGTAATCACGATATTTATTTATAAAAGAAACATGGAGATATGTGATTTATCAATACTTGTTGAATTTGGATATTTTATTTATGAACTATGCTTTGCTCATTTGGTATTACATAAGAATTTGGAGAAACTTTGATAGTTTTTACAACCTGTTAGACTTTATATATTTCTGAGAAAAAAATTAAATTAAATGTGCAAATAAAATAAAATGTCAACTTCAAATGAAACTGATATCAAATCCTATGATTCTATATCACATGTCCAAATTAACAAATATGAAAAAGAATAGAAAAAAGATCAAATTTCAAAAAACATAGTGGTATAGAGTGAATTCCCTTAAAAATAGTCGAGGTAAGATATGCGTATACCTATCCTTTCGAACCCTCTATGCGAGATTACATTAAATCATTAGGTATAAATAAAAAAGTGTAAATTAATTATTTTTAAATATAGATTAGTAAAAAAAAAAAACTTAAAAAGCCACAAAACATTGGTTTAGCACCACCTAAGGATGTGGAGCAGAAAAAAAAATCAACGAATGCATATCGAATTTTTTAAAAATATATTTTATAAAAAAATTGATATAAGTAAATAACATTTTTAAAGAGTCTGATCATCTTAGCTTTCTTTTTTTGGATATGTATATGTTGAAATTATTTATTTATTGCATGATGAAATAAATAAAATTGTTGGTGTTGATTAATTTGGATCTAAATAAATAAACAAATATATTTTTATTTCAAATTAAAAGATGGAAGGACACACTGGTGAGGACTCCTCTTGTATCGGTGTCCTGTGTCCGTTAAGAGAACTCCTCCTGCATTTTCTTACCTAAAAATAAAATTATATAATTTATCAAACATTATATATTAAAAAAATATATACGATATATATATAATATAATATAATATAATAAACAATCCTTCGAACAAAATGTAAGAGAGATAAAAATAATTAAATAGTCGTACACAGAAATTTCACCCAATTAAATCTGAAGTGTAGGTAAATCGAGTAAGAAGTTAAACTTCCTCTCAATAGCTAGTTAGCAAGCACAATAACCAGATTAGTGTTGCTTCACTTACTACCACACATTTGTTTTTATTTTTGTCAAAATGTTCGATATGATAAATATTTTTTATTTGATCGAAATAAAATAGTCTTATACACTATAACATACTTTGAATAATTCGTTATAATTAATTCCAAAGAGAATAAATATATTATAGGAATAATACAAATAATAAATAATAAAAAAAGTTATATCTTTGTTATTTTGATTGGTTTCTGAATCCGAATAAAAAGGTGAAAATTATCAAAATGTTCCATAAAAATTTAACTGCAAATAACACTTCTAAAGAGAGAGAAAAAGATAAAAATAAATAACATGGGCATGTTTTTCGTTTTCCACCTCTTCCTATTTTCTCTAGGGCGCTCTCTCTCCTTAATTCCGCGATTTTGTTAGTCCATTGCATTTGCTGCTATATTTATTCACAAATTTTACTCACTCTGCACCACACTCACTTCAACATCTTCAATTGAATCAAAATTTGATTTCGCCATCTTTTTTATACTGATTAATGTTTCTGCAGAATCTGTTAATGGCGGACAACAAATCAAATTGTTTTGATTCTCGATTGTGGCAAGCATGTGCTGGTACTATGGTAAAAATGCCTGCAGTTGATTCGATAGTGTTGTATTTTCCTCAAGGGCACGCAGAACATGCCGGTGTAAATGTTGAATTTAGGAGTGACGTTAAGATTCCATCCTACATTCCTTGTAGAGTTTCGAGTATTAAATACATGGCAGAACGTGAAACTGATGAAGTTTTTGCGAAAATTAGATTGACGCCTGTTCGTCTTAGTGAATTTTTCGAAACGCCTGAGGAAGAAGGAATGGTGAAAATTGGGTCGGATAATTCACGTAAACCTCTTTCGTTTGCTAAGACATTGACTCAATCAGATGCTAATAACGGTGGAGGTTTTTCTGTTCCGAAAAATTGTGCAGATACGATTTTTCCTACTTTGGATTACAATGTGAATCCTCCCGTTCAGACGCTCTCAGCAACGGATATTCACGGGAAATCATGGCAATTCAGACATATTTATCGAGGGACACCAGAACGTCATCTTTTAACAACCGGCTGGAGTACTTTTGTCAACCAAAAAAAGCTTGTTGCAGGTGATTCCATTGTGTTTCTAAGGAATGAAAATGACAAAATTTCTATAGGAATTCGAAGGATTAAAAAAAAGAGTGTTGCAATGGAACCCGAGACTTCTCCTTGGTGGTTTCCATCGGTTGGTAATCTTACTATACCACGCGGAGGATTTTCAGCTTTTCTCAGAGACGATCATAATACAAACTCGAGTTGGAGTTTGATAAACAGGGGAAATGTTAAAGCAGAATCAGTTATTGAAGCTACGAAACTTGCAACTAATGGACAACCATTTGAGGTTATCTTCTATCCGCAGAGTACTACTCCAGAGTTCTTTGTTAAGGCTTCACGTGTCAAGGCAGCATTGCAAATCCCCTGGTGCTCAGGAATGAGGTTCAAAATGCCCTTTGAAACTGAAGACTTAGTGATAAGCTGGTTCATGGGAACTATATCGTCTGTTCAAGCCAACGATCCAAGTCAATGGCCAGATTCACCTTGGAGGATGCTTCAGGTAATACAAACTATATTTAGTATATATATCATGTTATTGTGATCCGTTATACCACGACCTATTAGTTGATACCTTTATCTCTCTAATTGTTGTAGGTGACATGGGACGAGCCAAATTTGCTCCATAATGTGATGTGTGTCAACCCATGGCTCGTGGAACCAGTCTCAAACATGCCCACCATCAACTTTAATCCCTATACACCCCCACTAAAGAAACTTCGATTATCTCACACTTCGGATTTTCCTTTAAATGGTCATCTTCCTATGTCAGGTTTTCCCAATAACCATCTAGAATTTTCTATAGATCCTCCTATGTCAAGTTTTCCCATCCATCATCTACTTAGGCCCTATGGTTGTCCTCCTAACAACACCCCTGTTGGTATGCAGGGAGCCAGGCATGCTCCATATAATTTATCATTACCGGATATCCACACCAATAATTTGCTCTCGAGTCTATCTCCTGTCGGATTTCCATCACTTCATCATGTTGTTGCGAGTCCAAATACCTCCAATAATACCATGATTCCCAAGCCAAGTAGAAATGCCGGTATATCTAGTTTGCTAACCCTTGGAAGTTCAACCCAAACTAATAAGAAATTTGACAGTGAAAAAACGACACAATTCGTACTGTTTGGTCAACCCATAGTTATTGAACAACAAACCTCTCAAAGCAATTCAAGAATTAGTGTTTCTCCCCGTCATGCAACGAATAGTTTTTCTGATGGGAATGAATATAAAAAAGAGAATACCTCTGATTCCTCAGATACTTCATTTGTTCACAATAGTGTACCAGATTACTTACCATCTAAATCATTTCGATCAGAAGAAAATGTGGAGATTGGACACTCTAAAGTTTTCATAGAATCTGAAGATATAGGACAAACAAAACAACTTGGTGAATGGTGATGAGTCATTTAGGTATGAATATTCAAACTTAATCCAGATTCATACCATCATTTCTTTTTTTATGTATATTATCCCAATTTGTTTTGTAGGAAAATTCACAAAAGCGGCACAAAGATTAACAATTCTAACGGCTGGAAGCAGTGATAATATAAGAGCTAGGACTTATAGTCGCTTTTTATTTTTGTCTCGATTAATATTTTTACTAGGTTCAATGATGATCTTGAGTTTTGTTTTCAGACTTAGTACGTTTTGTAGACTTAAGTTTAGCATTTGTTGATAGTGAAAATTATATCTCGTTCTTCACTCTAGTATTCTACTAAATTTAAAATGTAAATTTTTTTGTTTCATTTTGAGTAATTACTCCATATTATGTTCATGAATCATGAGGAGTAGGGCGGAGATAGGAAATAAATGACTATATAGACTTATAATACAACACAAAGTAATGAAATCATACGTGAGAACCAATCTGCTCTTTTAAAGTCTAAAGACAATACTAGTTTGAATATTCATGATATTGATGATCTTAGAGGATTGTTCAGTATATTGATCTGCGAATTAACTTGATAAAACATACTCATTTGAAGCACCCCAACTGAAAGTTGCTAGCCGTCGAGTCCATGATACCTAAAAACTTTGTTTTTATTATACAACCAATTATTTGTATATAATTATAGATTATGACTTTGTTTATAAAAACCATAAACTTTTTATACAACTTGGAAAATAATTTTTCCAAGTTAATAAAATGTTAGTTATTTGTTGCAATATAATACCTTGTTCTAGTTCTTAAAACTTTTATTGATTGAAAATAATTTAATTCAAAGTTCCAAAATATCAAATAAATTTTTACTGTCATATAACTAAATATTTTTAAAAAAAATCAAAGAAAACATTTTCACGTTTCCAATATGACAACTATATAAGGAAATAATGAACTTCATATATATTAATTATAATTCTACAATACATATGGACATCATAAATATTGGATCATTATAGATGATAATTTGTCCACGTGAGCACATATATACCTTTAAAATACATATTAAATAGTGGAGCGGTGATAGGTCCTGCTCAAAGTGTAACTATGTGATTCCGTCATTATGGAAAAGTCAATCAAAAAATAATAAGGGCCAGAAAACTTTTTGATAGTAACTTGAAATTTTCCAATCTAGTCCAGATTTGGATGTAATCGGAGGCATTAAGGTGTAGGGAAATCTAGTAATGAATGAGATCTAATTGTGAATTTTATTACATGAGTGCATAACTAAGACGATAAGGAACCCGTACCACTTCACGGAATCGAATTCAGGCGAGTAAAACTCTGAGAAATGATCTTTTCATGAATGAGTACATTCTGTTTCCGTCGAGGCCGCTGGAGAGGGATTTTGGGACCTTGAGCGACGCCGTTGTAGCGAGATGAGTCTGTAGCGGGCCAGACGTGACTTAAAGTCGTTAATAAACCCCTAAACGACCATATTTGATATTTTTCGACTTTTAGGGCTAAAGAGGCGACCCAGACGAGTTCTTCATAGTTTTTCTCCATTCTTAAGGCTATATGTAAGGTTTTAACACCCTGAATCGATATTTATAATGTGAATGTTGCATTATTGGTCACCTTACTAATCGTAAATGAGGATTGAATAATTGTATGTCATTAATCACCTCTTGTTGTATGATCTTGATGATATACTTGTGTTTGTGATTGTGGTGCGTGATTGGGGATCGGATTGCCACGTTTCGGCAAGTTAACTTGGATCGAGTTGCTACATTCCGGCACAACTATTGGATCGGGTTGCCATGTTCTGACACAATTATGGGATCAAATTATCACGTTCCTGCAAGCTAACGGTTTGGATTTGAATTCCACGAGAAAATCATTGAATTGTGTTGTGTATCTACTTGTGATGATTATGTTCATACCTAATGATAATTGACATTGAAGGACTAATTATTGCTCTGAAATGATTTAATTATATATTGTTGAGAATTGTAAAATTGTCCGTTGATGTGAATGATAATGATATTGTATATGTTTTGATATTTGCTTGTTTTATAATGTTGTGGTTACTTATATATGTTTCACTTAGTGGGATAGCCCAGTACACTGTGGTTGTGTAGTAATACTGTACTTGCTCTTATTTTTGTTGAGTACATAGCATCTTCCGGCGGCTATTAACAGATCTCGTTTAGAAATCAATGATTGTTTGAATTTAAGAATAAGCTAGTTCTTGTGGGTTGCCCGAGTTCAAGGGCGAATAAGTAAACCTACGCTATCGTTATCATTATCCTTACTCAAAGTATTTTGTACTTATGTTCCGTAAGAAAGGAAAATAAAGTTTATACTGTTGTTAACTCATTTCGAAAATATATAAAGCAAAAATTACTTATTTTTTATTTGTTTGTATATTTACTTAACTACGAGTTTTTCTCCTAATCTCTAATTTAGCAATTTCTTAGGGAGCATCTCCTATATAATGGCTCTTTCATTCACAGTTTTCTCTTTAATTCATAAATAATCTATCAATTTCTCTTCATTAACAGAAGCCTTTTAAGGTAAGTTCTTCTATTGCTCATCTCTATCCTTTGTTTTTATTTTTATTTAGTTTTCCTTTATTCCCTTTTATCTAAAAAAAAAAAAAGAGGTGAAATTTGGAGTATGATAATTTACTGTCTATTTTCTTGTTAATTAGGATGTTAATTTCTTAAATTTTTGATATAAAATTTATGGGTAAATTTATATATTTAAGCGTACATAAGAAAGAATGAAGAAGTTTGAAATAGAATAATTGAAATTCAAAAACTGAGGAATTATAACTTATATATTTAGATACTATATACATGAAAATATATACAACAATTCCTTTTTTTTAATTTAAAGAATATTTAAAATAATTTTGCCCTTTCCTGAATCTTATGCCTAGTGAACTTTTTTATATTTCAAGATAAAAGTTATTTTAATCTCTAAGCTGTAATTATCTATTGATTTGATCATCTCATAGTTCAATTTATTCAGATGCTCTGAATCGTATCTTTATTAATTTAACATAATTAGTTTAATCTCGATCGATCTATTTTTGATCTCATATATATTTTTTTACATTTATATATATTTTGTGAATTTACGTAGTCTTATGAGCAGAAATATATAGAAATAATGTAAAATTCAAAATAAAGATAGAATTTTTACACGTACATCTTTTTCCCAATCATATATTAGGATATATAAGACGAAAAAATTGTCTCAAAAATCAAACTATCTTTACAATTGAAAATATCATAAAAACGATCTAAAAAAGGAGATTATAAAGATAGACTACATATGTCAAATCCTTGTCAAGATCTAATCATGATTTAGTTCAAATGATTAATAATATTATCCTTTGTTGTTGTTTTTTTTTGAAAAAAAAAAATATTAAGAGAATACATTAATATTTTTATTTTGTACAACTTTCAATACTTTCTCTTACGGATGCAAATCTTTGTTAAAACTCTCATTGGAAAGACCATTACTCTGGATGTGAAGAGTTCCAACACCATTAACAATGTTAAAGCAAAGATTGAAGACAAAGAAGGAATTCCCTCAGATCAACAAAGATTAGTATTTGGTGGAAAACAATTTAAGGATGATCATACACTTGCTGATTACAATATTCAAAAGGAGTCTACAATTCATCTTGTCTTGAGTCTTTGTGGAGGTTATAGGGAAGATGAAGTTTATCCTATCATTATTAGGACATATAAGGGCGAGAAATTTATCTTGGAAGTCAGGACTAGCTTTAAAATTGAAAATATTATAAAATCGGTTCAAGAAAAAGGAGATTATAAAGATAGGTTACACATGTTGTTAGATGGTAAGTATCTACAATATGATAAAAGTCTTTCGCAGTATCATATCAGAAAAAATTGGACACTCCATCTTATACGACGATAGAAAGTAAATTATAAATCCTTCATTGTGAAGACTATTTTTGTTTAAGAGAATTCTTATACTATTAATAATGTAATACAAAGATTAAGAATATATAGCATTGTGTCACTCCTCTATCAATTGGCTCTAATTTTAATTCATGAAGTATAATGTTTAAAAGGCTTAATTGTTTTAAAGTTTATGTTTAATCAATGCCCAAAGCTTACTTGGACTAAAATAGACTGAATCAATATGAGCTAAGTTATGGATCACAACTCAATTCGTCAAATATAAATTCATTTTCTAAACAAACAAGTCTTCCTAAATATTTCATATTATAAAATTTAATAGATTTATTTACATGTATAGCTAAAAATTAAAAAAAATGTAATTTTAGTTAATTAAGTATACTATATATCTATATGTGCATATCAAATATTCATGTAAAATGTATTGACATAAAATGATATAGAGAAAGTAAAATTTAGGATTGAAAGGAGTAGAAAAAAAAATGAAACCTAAATAATAATAATAATAATAATAAGCACCAAACAATAAGGAAACAAAAATAAAGATATAGGAACTGAAGTAGTTGAACTCAAGCATCAAATTCATCAAAAAAACATTTCAAAATTAACACTAGATTGGCCAAAAATTCAATGTTAGAATACTCAATAACGAGTCTTCTGTAATAATATCATTCGATACAAAATTTATTTGTGAAAATTTAATTTTCAAACTTCGAAATTTTGAATTTTAACAATGGCCAGACACCAATTTTTACTTATAATTATATCAAAGGTTCAATATAAATTAGGTTAATTTGGTAGGTCTTCCTATTCGTATGTCTTAGGAATAACATTTATTTATAGGCTTACGTTAATGGGAAGAATGCACAAGTTGAAATACTTAGGACTATTGTAGCTGATTAAGTGTATAGCAGGGAAATAATAATTGAGTTTTTTTAGATAACACAGAGAAATTATGCAATTTTTTCAAGAAAAATTATTTAAAAGATGGTGATGCAATATAAATTTTGAAAGCCAAGTTAACTATTCAAATTGCGAAACTTAATTACTATCCTTTACCTATAGCTCATGTGTAGTTGCTTAGCTATTCATATGTTAGGACTATGTCCAATACCAGATACTGTGTATATAATTTCATACTTTGATATATAAAATATCTTTATTATAAAAACTAAAAATAATATTATAGAACAAACTACGTGCAAAATAAAATATTCTATCATCAAACAAGAAGAAAGCACTCTGCAAATATAAAATATGCAAAAAAATCAAAAAAATATAA